TTATTTGATACAGAAGGACCACCTCTGTTTAATGCTTTCTGAAAAAATAATGCGCACTAGAAATAACAGTTTAACAGGCAACTTTTACTGGGTTTGTCAGAACATTCCCAGCAAATCTCAGCTGCTAGGGTTCTCAAGGGATTGTTCAGTAACCCCCCAAGGGCTATAAAGTACTGGAGATTGATACCAAATTAAAAACACCTTTTGGGGTTTTTACAAAGCAACTTTCAGTGGTTTTCCAGCCCTAAATTTATGTCATGCTTTCAGCATTCTCCGAACGCTTCCAAATCTGCCCCATCTCTCCTAGGAGCAGTATTGGCACAAACAGCCCCAAGACCGAGGGGGAACCTAAAGCACTTAATGCTTTATTTATTTTCATGAAATAAGAGCATAAAGTGAAGCCCAGTTATCACTTACACACAGGAACTTTGCTAAGGATCTTTACCTAGTCTCTAATCCCTTTTCAAACATCTTATTTATGAATGTGAATGAAATTGTGTTTTACCGAGTTGTGCCATGAGCAGCACACTTATGCCCCAGAGTAAAGATGTTCTCTCCCCCTCTCCCAGTAACTCTACCGCAAGGCTATAGTACCGCATGTATTGCCTCAGGGTTTATTTCTTACACACACACTGCACGTTACAGCTGTTTCTTTTCAGCTGCAGGAAAGCTGTCAAGTAAGCATGCTGTAGCTAAGCAATAAGCTAGCAGTCCACAGTTACTGAAAGGAAATTGATAATGTTAATGGAACAAACTGTCAGATGTCCTAGCTACACACTACGCCATTAGGGACCCTGTGTCGCATGTCCAGGTGATCTCAGCACAGAAAAATGCCATCTGTTACGTCCCCCTGCTGCTGTAGTCCTGCAATAGGGAAGGAAGGAAGGAAGAAAAGAAGGAAGGATGGGTCAGGACTGAGTTGTCAGGTCTTGCCCTTGCCTAAAACATCAGGAAACTCATGCACTGTGCTTACTGCCCAAGTTGCGATATTACCCCTTGGAACAGTACAGAGCATAACATGTTTTTGTTTTTCCACAGATGATGGTGCAGAGCTGTGATGTGAGGACTTTCACTTACATATTTTGGAAAGCTGCAGCCTCTTGCTTTTTCTAGCTCACTAATCATTCCCTCTTAACTCCCCTATTCTTTGATTACCAATTTGCTTGCACACTTCTTTCACAGATACACAAATAAAGAGATTCACAAGTTTGATTACAAATTTTAATTCTATTTACAGGAAATAAACATACTTTTAAACAGCACGTAGCAGATGAGTAAAACTATTTTAAATGCAACCTACACGAAACAAAACCTGAGCACTTCAATATCACAATAAAAAAAAAAAAAAGCCCTTTTACAGGCTAAACACTCATCATACGAGGTGCAATACTCATAGACATCAGTTCTTGGAAGAGGAGTTTGCAGGCATAGGGCATTCGAACCAAAGATATCTGGAAAGAGATTTCAAGAGACTTGTGATAAGCACTCCTAAAGCATCAACTTCCACCACCCTCTACACAAATAACTTGTCAAGGTTTTGGCTCAAAAGTGAATCTGAGGTTATGCATGAAAGCATTTAACAAGAACTGCTCACAGACAGTAACAAAGCAAGAGGGAAGCCGAGAATGTAGAGCCTACAGAGCAGCTAGCCAGAACACATTTTAATGATACAACCTGCAGCCAAGGGATCTGCTCTTAAACAAGAGCCATTTAACAAGGGAAAACGTGCATAGCAAAGTGCGCCGGATGTACAGTAAATGCAGTTAAGATTTCTAGCGGGCACCTCTTCAGTAACTCCAACGCCATTGTTAGAGCTGCAGCAGTCAGTCCCTAGCACAACAACAAGACTGTTTAAGGCAACTATTTTTATCTGTGCTGACACTTTCCCTTGACATAGTTCTGTAACCAAGCACACACTACAGATCTTTTTTTATTTAAAAAAAAAACCAAAACCAACATAAAACACAAGATCCCCCATGGGGACCCAGCTCTGCAAGCATAAATATCTTCAGGGGGACAGTCACAAGGGCGATGGCTCTAAATTCCTCTGAGTTTTACTTCTAAAAATAAGCTCTCAAGCATTTACTTTTAAAGTCTCTGAAAACTCTGCACTGCAAGACACTTGAACAGCATTTCCTGCCAAGCGACAGGCCAACACTGTAAAAGTAATAAGGAAACATCCACATTAACTTGGACACTATAAACACTTAAAACAGTTATGAAACTAAAATAGCAATTGTTCTGCTGCTTCTTTAAATATTTACATCCCTATCCTCCTGTTCACCCAAGTGGCATTTCCTCTTACCCACAAAGAGAAACACTGGCTGATGAAAACCACACGTACCTGAGTTTTATTACGGCATCCCCGACATTCATAGGTGTGAGTCCTTGTGTTTGCAATCGCCATGATTCCACAGAGGTTACAGACATGGACTTGGTATGGGTCTGAAGCTTCAAACAATCTTTCTCTTAAGAACTGGGCTGCTCCATGAGCAATCTGGCAATCTCGTTCCATTTCTCCAAAACGAAGGCCACCATCACTGAAAAGAGGAAAAAAAAACACCAAACCCCTCAGCTTTGAGTTCATTGCCAAAACACATCATTTCCCGTTGGTTTAACAAGTAACTTATCAGAAACACAGCAGCACTACAAGGCAGGAGTGCACAAAGCTGTGCATTAATTTTCCTCTAACACCTCAGAATAAAACTGTTAGTGAGAATGCGAACACAGTAATTTGTAGCTGCTGTTGAGCATTTCTAAAGCAGATGTCAGACAGCTAACGGCCACAGCACAACTGTATAAGCAAAATGAGGTAAACAATTACATCATTTTCTACTTATTTGTGGTGTGTTTGACTGTGGCTGGCTGCCAAATGCCCACCAAGCAGCTCTCTCACTCCTCCACATCAACAGGACAGGGAGAGTAAGATGGAAAAGCTCGTGGGTTGAGATAAAAACAGGGAGATCACTTACTAATTGCCATCACAGGCAAAACAGACTTAGCATGGGAAAAATTAATTTAATTTATTACCCATTGAAAATGGACTAGGACAGCAAGAAACAAAGACAAAACTGAAAACATCTTCCCTACCTTCTTCCCACGCTCAGCTTTACTCCTTCATTCCCAACTCCCTCCTCCCCTCCCCATGGTCACAAGGGTTGCAGTCAGTGCATAACAGTTCCTCTCTGCCACTCCTCCCTCCTAACTTTTCCCCTGCTCCAGCATCGGGTCCCTCCCATGGGACAGTCCTTCACAAACTGGTCCAGCAATGGCCCTTCCCACAGGGTCCACTCCTTCAGGAACAGACTGCTGCAGCATGGGTCCCCCTGCACATCACAGCTCCTGTCAGGAGCCTGCTCCAGTGTGGGCTCTCCACAGGCTGCAGCATGGATATCTACTCCACCATGGTCCTCTGTGGGCTGCAGGGGGACAACCTGCTTCATACCACGGGCTCTCCACAGGCTGCAGGGGACTCTGCTCCGGCGCCTGGAGCACCTCCTCCCTCTCTGACCCAGGTGTCTGCAGGGCTGTTCCCCTCACATTTTCTCACTCCTCTCTCACAGCTGCTGCACAGCCTTTGTCACTCTTTCTTAGATACCTGTTATCACAGAGGTGCCACCAGTGTCACGAATGGGCTCAGCTCTGGCCAGCGGTGGGTCTGTTGGAGCCAGCTGTAAGTGGCTGTGTCCAGCACAGGGCAACCCCTGGACCCTTCTCAGAGAAGCCACCCCAGGAGCACCAAAACCTTGACACCTGCACCCAACACATCATCTTAAGCCAAACACATGAAAATGGATGGCTAACTGGGTGATGGTGAGCTAATTAAGTTCTAGCTGTAAAGTTGAGGCAGCTAATTTCCAGGGCTAAAAACATCAAAGAAAACACTGTATAGAAACTAATAAACTTCCTTACCGAGATCTGCCTTCCATGGGCTGTCTGTTAAGTATCTGGATTGGCCCTCTTGCACGAGAATGGATTTTGTCATCTACCATGTGCTTCAACCGCTGATAATATGTAGGACCAATGAAGATCTGTGATGTGATTTTTCGACCAGTGAAGCCATTGTAGAGGACCTGAAGTAGTCAATGAAATCACTGAATGATAAGCCATCATCAAATGTATAGTAAAAAATTACAGTGAATTGACATTTTGATTATACCTCATTTCCTCTTAGATGATAGCCATAATCTGATAAAAGATTGGAGATCTTCTGCACATTGACAGCATCATTAAAAGGTGTAGCATCACCAATTTCGCCCTTGTTTGCGGACACCTACAGAAAAGAGATTTGCAAAAGCTTGTCAGATTTCTGAAGGACTGGTCAGACAACATACAGCTGTTTCAAATAGTTTTAATGCCAGAACTTGAGATTCCATGCCCGTGATGGTATGCTGTCTTGCTTTGTTCATCAGCTACACAATTTAGGGTGAGATTTTTAAAAACACACAGTATCAACAATTTTGCTACTCCGCTTTCTAGGTCATAGGAAATATTTGGAATAAAAGCAACAGATTAGAGAGTGTACTTGTAGTCTGACTTGGTGGACAAAATTTACAGGACTGTAGGTCTTCCCCAAGAAACCTGTTTTTGCTATCAAGTAACTGGAGAACAACCTTTATTTTTTAGTGGACTAACACCTACCAGAGAATAGTATCTTCACCAAAAACCCCAAACAAACAAACCCAAAACCATTTTAATTCATATTGCTCAGACATGCAGCATAAAAGATTCTTCTTACCTTCCCCTGAAGACACTCAATCAAGTGACCGATGGTCATGCGAGAAGGGATGGCATGGGGGTTGATAATTATATCAGGTGTGATGCCTTCACAGGTGAAGGGCATATCCTGGAGCAGGGAAACAGACACTCAGTACTTACCAGAATATCAGCTTTAGAACAGCAGTTGCCTGGATTCAAATTAAATATTTTAAAACATTTCAAAGGCATTGAAGTACTATGTAAGAAGCAACTGTGTCCCTTTCTAAACATATTTTAGCTAAATTTAAGTCAATGTATTGCCCCTGAGTAGATACTCGACAGACAACTAACTTAAGGCAGTTCTGATGCTAAGAAGATCAGAGATAAAATGTTAAGAAGGAAATAAAAAATCACTACCTCCTGCCTATACTGGATACCACAGGTTCCTTTCTGACCGTGTCTGCTGGCAAATTTATCTCCAATTTGTGGGATTCTTACAGAGCGTACCTGTAAGCCATAGGAAAACGTTCAACTGGTAACTTAAATACAGAACAAAAATGATTAAAAGTAGAAAGCACACACATCAGTGCTCACCCTAATCTTGCAGAACTTGTATCCTTCCTGGTTAAGGGTTACCATGACCTGATCTACAATACCAGTCTCACTAGTTCGCAGAAAAGTGCTGCAGTCTCTCTTTGTGAAACGTCTGTTAGTGCTTTCCAGTTCATCTTCATTTTCTGGCAGCGTTACTGTTTTGCCAATGATGACATCGTCCCCAGACACACGTACCCCAGGTGCTATCAAACCATCATCATCAAGTTTGTCATAGATTGCATGTCTCATACCTTGGGGGAAAAAAAAAAAGGAAAAGAAAAGTACACTCCTAAATTTTTCATCATACTGACTTTGATGTTCTGTAGAAATTCAACAAGTCTGCTTGCAACTTCAGGCTACTGCTGAAGTGTCTAAAGATAATTTTATGCAAATATCTCAGCTATGTATTTTGCTATTAATTAATGCTAGCAGACATTTCTGCTATTTTATATGTCCCAAAATAAAGACTGAATATCAGTTCAACAACACTAACAACCTTGCCCACAAAATTTAATTTAAAAAAAAAAAAAAAAATCAGTCTTTGTACACTCCTGTATCTTACCTTGGCAAGTTTCACGTGTAGGTTTTTCAAAAACTTCCTCTTGGTCATACCCTTTTTTAGACTCTTGCTCTTTATACGAGCGATAGAACACAGATCTGAAACAAAGTTATAAAACCTTCTCCAGTGAAACCAGCATCATTTTTTCCTCATCTGTACATCCCAATTTCACTATAATCACCCTTTTAGTACATATTATGGCTACTGTTACTAATGACAACCAACACAAATAATATTCACATGCCACTCAACCTTTCCTCTGAAGTCTTGTTAACCTGACCATCATTGAGGAGGGGAAAAAAACAACAAAAAACACCCCACTAAACAAACAAAAAACAGTTTTCATATGGCATTTTGATGGTCACTTTTCAGATATTGACAAAGTACCTATGGATAACAGGCTCATTTTTGG